TTTCTCCATGTTGGTCAGGCTGGTCTCGAACTCCCAATCGCAGATGATTCACCCACCTTGGCCTCCCAAAGTTCTGGGATTACAGGTGTGAGCCACTGCACCCGGCAGGGGTGCAGTTTTTTAAATACAAACCGATTGATCCAGAGTTCACAGCCCAACCACCTCCTCTGTCTGACTCTCACACTCCAGGCCGCTCTTGGCTTTCCCAGTCGCCCCAGGCCAAGTGCTTGACAACTAGGGACAGCCCCTGTGCCCGCGAGCCGCTGAAATTATTCACACACGCCTGTCCTGAGCCTGTTCTTTCTGCCATTCCTTCCCATGGAAACCACGGTAGAGGCTCTGTCCAGGGCTTCCACCCGCCCTGCTCCAGTTCTTCCCCTTCTCTCGAGACCTTTGAGTAGTAAAACTCTTCTTTTACCAGCAGCCATCTCTAGATCTGTTGGCTTTATTAGACCTAAGTAACAATAAAACCTATGCAAACATCGTGAGATAGATATACCTAATAACTGACGAAATCCCCATTTTAGCTCGCTGATCCATGGAGTAAAGTCTCTTGTACTCCCCCACTCCCAATATAGTGAATAAAACAATGCCTTTTGTTTGGGAGAATTTCAAATTTTGGTGGCACCAGTGGCAAACCCAAATGATACAGGGTTGGGGATTGCTGCCTAACCCTATGTCGTCACCCTGTTTGGCAGTTGAAATACTGTTTTCTGTCTCGCAGTATTGTGTCATGCTTAGGTTTCATTCACATGTTCTCAATGTCTTCTTGAAAGTCATTATGCAAAATATTGAGCTGGGCCTGGGCACGGTGGCTCGTGCCTATAATCCTAGCACTTTGGGAGGCTGAGGCGGGCGGATCACCCGAGGTCGGGAGTTTGAGACCAGCCTGGCCAACATGGTGAAACCCTATCTCCACTAAAAATACAAAAAATTAGCTGGACTTGGTGGCGTGTGTCTGTAATCCCAGCTACTCGGGAGGCTGAGGCAGGAGAATCACTTGAACCCGGGAGGCGGAGGTAGCAGTGAGCCAAGATTGAACCACTGCAGTCCAGCCTCGGCAACAAGAATGAGACTCCGCCTCAAGAAAAATAAATAAAAATTGAACCGGACAGTTCACTTAGGGACATGTTGCTTGTTTAACGTCTTAGAGCTTCTGTTATGATGGCCATGACGTGTCATTCTACTGCCCACGGTGACCCTCCCACCCCCAACTTCTAGCAGAGAGTACTGGTAGATAGTCATGCTCTTTCCTGTCAAGCCCAGGCACACTTTCAGAATTCCTGTACACCAAGGACCTTGGGCGGGCACTGCTAACCGATCAGACTGGTTTTCAGGTGAAACCAGAATTGCTGACTGAAGCTTTGCATGTAATGTCTCAGCCAAGGGTAAGTTCACCGAAGAGATGTCATCTAAAGAACAGCGTATCATGATGTTAGCCACAGCATGGTAATCAGAGAGAGCCTGGGACAAATGCTTTGCTGAGTTCCAGAAATTCCACAGAGGCTGGTGGAGTGATCAGCTGGAGTTAAGTCAGGCAGACCTGAGGGAAAATGCTAGCTCTGCCTCTTATAGATTGAGTGATGCTGCAGAAGTCACATGGTCATTCTGAGACTGTTTCTTTGTGCGTAAAATGGCGATAATCACACCCATGTTGTAGGGCTTGGGGAAGATTAAATACTATACATATATGTGTGTGTGTGTGTGTGTGTGTGTGTATATGTATGTATGTATATATGCACTTTGTACAGAGCCTGAGATACAGTAAGTGTTCTCTACATGGTAGATATTATTATTGTCTTCTTATAAAGGAGAAGGGATTATTTGCTGAGACCTTTAAAAAAATCTCGTTCGCTTTTGTGAGTCCACCCTGTCCCCAGAATGATGAGTGACATTTTCCAGACATTATTAGTTTGTCTGAATAGTTTATGAAATTTCCAGGGAACAATATTTTTTAACCATATGTTGACTCTGAGATGTCCTTTTTGCCCCCCAAATTTTAAATATTTCCATCAGAGAACAGGCTACACGTTCTTTGAACATGCTCTGAGTTCCAACTGGGACATTGGGACACTGGGATGCCAAGAACGTGTCTGCCTGATGTCGGCAGTGAGCCCGAGGCAAATGTCTCTGAACTCCCACTGGTCACTTAGTCTGTGCATCTTCACAGAAGATGACATCTCCGTGGGCCCCTCTCCTCCCTTGCTGTACAGTGGCTTTTCTGTGACCAAGT